AAAAAAAAAAAAAAAAAAAAAAATGAGGCAAGGTTATGGAGGACAGGAATCCTTCTACATTGCTGGTGGGAATGTATATTAGTGAAACCCATGTGGAAGTCACTGGAGATTCCTCAAGACACTAAAAGTAGAAATTACATTCAACTCAGCTATCTTTCGTGTTATCTTCCCCCCAAAAGCTAAAGACATCATATCCATCTTTTAAAGATAACTCCCAACACTAAATCTTGGAAGCAGCCTAGATGTCCATCAACAGATGAGTGGAGAAAGAAAATGTGGCATTTAGACACAGGGCTGGGGCCAGAGAGACAGCTCAGTAGAATAAGTGCTTGCCTGGCAAGCACAAGGACCTGAGTTCAAACCCCTGTTCCACACTCACAAAAAAAAAATCACCACATAGACACAGGGCTGTTTCTCAGATTACTCAGCCATAAAGAAGGATACATTTAGGGCCAGGGAGATGGCTCAGTGGAATAAGTGCTTCCCTGGCAAGAGCAAGGACCTGAGTTCAATCCCTGGTTCCGCAAAAACAAAACAAAACAAACAAACAACAACAAAAAAAAAACCAAAAAAGGATACATTTGAGTCTGTAGTAGGAAAAAGGATGTGCTGTGCCACCATAATGCTTAGCGAAGTGAGTAACAGAAGGTGAAATCTCATGTGGTTTCTCTTATCTAAATGAATAACTTGAAAAAGCAAAGCCAAAACTAGAGGACAGGAAACAGGGAAGTAGACTTTATGCAGATGGGAAGGGGATTTAGCAAAAGAGAGGGGAAGCAACTAAAAAAGGACTAAGGTGCAATCTGTTTTTTTTTTTTTTTTTTTTTTAGGGGGTGGCTCTGGAGATCAAACTCAGGACCTTGGACTTTCCAGGCAAGCACTTATTCCACTGAGCTATCTCCCCAGTCCTAAGATGCAACCTGCATGCATCGACCAGTCCCCCATGATGGATACATTATGTAATCCAAGCACATACAGAATAGCACGTTACTATTACCCCTTAGTTATTGCTAACTGATCAGGCCCACAATCTCCCAAATGAGTGGATGGCCAAAGCTTAAATAAGCAAGTTGTGTGGTATGATTTCAGGGCTGCAGGAGGATCAAAACCCTCCAACAGAATTTGAGATTCTCTGGGGCTAAGATCAAGATCTTCTCTGTGCAGCTTGTAGCTATTCAGTCATCAGAACAAGGAAGGGGAATGCTGAAGAAAGGCAGGAATCTCAAGGACTTCTCCAAGTAAGATATTAAGCTAATTTAATAAAGATATCTCCAGGAAAGTCTCTACCCAGGAGTGAGATGCCCTCAGCTACAGTCTTTATCTAGTTGAGGTTGGAGTCAGGTGTCCTTAACTGTGATCTTGTCTCATCCTTCAAGGCTTCATGGCTTCATGGCCCATTACAGGCCTCAGCCAGGACTGGTGACTCACAGAGGTGCACTTGCTATGAGTCCACCGCCCATCTCCAGACAAGGGGCCAGGCCTTAGACAGACTCGCAAGTAAACATGCAAAGCCAACTGATATAT